ATGGACGGATTTTCCAAAAAACAAAACATTCAAAAAAGTTACTACACAACCTATTGCATCGAAAGAACGTCATACCTTGCTACCTCAGTTCATCGTCTGGAATGTCAGGGGACAGTCATGTTTCGGCCACGATTATGATCTTCAGATCCATCTGAGAGTACATATTCCCGATTTCTGACAGCTTACGCCTTAGTCCTCTTACGTTGCTATAGAGGCATCTGGTGTTTTGTCTCAACAACAACAGCCGTTGTCGGATTTTCAAACAAGTTGTTTAAACAGAGTTGGTCAGTTCTGTGAGTTTTTTGCCCGTGCAGTGAGTCCAATCGGCGAGGCTATTATCTTTGTGTCTTGTGCCAGGGGTTGTTGATCGAGGCCAGCTGTCAATTTCGTGCGTTTATTATGGCTTCTCTGCTGTCGTCTGACAGATCTTGGTCGGCTCTTGCAACACCTGATGTGGCTAGACAGGTTATTCTCCGAACTGTACCAAGCTTGAAACGCCTCAGTCAGGTCTTCCCGATTCCTGAATTCCACGGGTATCAGACGTGGTGACCTAATGGACGTGAAGTTCGACGGGCGAGGCAGACTAGAAATGAAAGTGGCCATTGAGGTTTTAAGACCCAGGCTACATGATAGTCAACGCCACTGTTGCACACCACGCACGTGAGCTTCATCCGAGATACCACCATCCAGTTCGGGCACTCCGTGGACTACCATGCTAGTCTGCTCTTAGGTGCCTGGTGCTGTCCTGGCTGACCACGGATTATCGTGTCTGGTGCGGATCGGAGAGGACAATTTTACTGATGGTCTCTGGGATGAGAGGAGGATATCTTGGGCAAGTTGTGCTGAGTCTAGTGTTACCCTCATTGGAGGGGACTTCCCTTTCGAGACGTTCTGGCCATTGAAAAGGAGGCCTATGTTTGCTGCGGTATTGCATGTGGAGCTACTAGAGAAAGTGAATTCCGATAAGGTGTACAAAGAAATAGAGAGTAGACTAGAAAACATTGTTTACAGTCAACGATTAAACGTAAGAGAGCCCACCGTCACAAAAGGAGGTGGGGTGGTGTATCTGACCAGCATTCATGACGGTGGGGCGATAACATCAATCTACCCACGTCTGTGTGGCAGAACATTTTGCTTGCTTATTGCTCCTTACGATATAGCAGAATGTAACAAATCAGTGATATTGATGTTACTTTTCCTTGTTAACCTCGTCCACGACTCATGTCCGTAACCTTGCACTGGTTTCAACTTCCTATCAAGAAATCCTATTACAAGCAGATCTGTGTAATCATACAGAAAAAGAGCTCATTCATAACTCCATGAGCCACAGTGTTAAAAAGAAAATAAGTAAAATAAAAACATAAGATCACTGAGCCTCATTATTATATTCTGTAAATCAACACTGTTGCTAACAATTTGGTTATACTGAATTTCCTAAATTCACAAGATTAAACGTCCATTCGTTATCTTACTACTGAACTGCCTTCATGAACCTACAAAAATGCAGGTATAAAGTTAGTGTTCTAATACAAAAAAGGTCTCAGTAATCATACCTTTATTTTATCCAGAAACCTATGTGCTGAGTCATTGTTCGTCTTTACACATAATATTTTCCATTCTGCTCCTCAACCCGTTCTCTTTATTTCTCTTTTTTCAGCACCTTATTCCAATACCTATGTATTAGTCTGCCGAAGACATGGTTACTTCACCCGAGGGCCTGTAAATTTAATAACCAGTTCTTGGCACAGACCTGGCTCTACCTTGCATTGTTTCACCGTGATTAAGAAGCTCATCGTAACAAAACCGCCGTAACTCGCGCCAAATATTCGCGTTGTACATTTAGAGTCTGCAAACTTGTCTTTAATTTTATGTGAAAACTTACAGCCATCTAAATGGAGCCAATCTATCTTATGAAATATTTCAGTAACTGTACATCGTTTTAAAAGAAATATGTTACCAATCTTAACACTTTGATCTTGCCTGTAAATTGGCATGTCTCTCGTAACATGTTCGTTATTTGAGAATAAATTATTATTATGAACCCAAAGTACTTTCTAGGTAATGTGATGTCGCAGTGACATTGGAACCATATACTTTAGACGTTGCATTCAAATGCAGAATCACTGGTTTTGACTGGCGCTAAACAGGTGATACAGTTCTCCTTCTGCGATTTCTGAACGACAGGCTGTGCTAACTGAACCTGTTCCTATTCTTATTTTGCCTACTGGTCTTTTAGGGAGTAGGATTCTTAGGCTTGTCATCTTGGTTTCTATATCTGAGACGCAGTGGGGGCGTTTGGGTCGAGTGATTAAAATTAAAAACATTACTCTGAGGAATCCTATCGAGTGACGGTTTGGGTTTACTCGCAGCCCTTTCGCTCGAGACTGGGTATTTTCGACTCATCACTGACCCAGAAATTCATACCTCTACAGGTTTTCCTAGTTGTTATAGTGTAATGAGGGGTAGCAATCTTATTACTCATTATGGTACTTGAGAGATTTTAGAAATGAAGGAACGAGATAATTGGAAGAGGAAAATACGCGAGATACGGGTTTTTGAAGGAAGAGAATGGTAATACGAGACAAGAATGTGGAAAACATGTATGAAGTATCACGGAGTATATCGTAATACCACTGACTTCTGCTTAGTTTCTTTCAATTTTCAGGTAACAGGTTGCAACGTGTGATCAACATACTGTAACATATTGTAACATACTATTAGCCTGATGAATACGTATATTCGGGACACACCACAAACCGAAGCGGAATTGGAGAAGGCTAAGAGCCAACTCTTCGAATTACAATGCGAGCGAATGGGCGGAGCGAATAGGAGAAGGCTAAGAGCCAACTCAAAGAGATAGAACATGACTAAAAATATATAGTCAGATAAAAATAAGACAGACATGACAAGCGAAATAGGCATGCACACACATGAATAAAAGCGACGAATGATTGACAAGGTCAAAAGCAAGCGATACAAATCATGTGAGTTTATGGGAATTTCAAGAGATTAATATTAAAGCGAATAGGATGGGTAAACTCGTGGGCGTAAGCAATGCTCAGTCGTACAAGCTCATACAAACCAGATAATAAAAAAATACCAATGGTACATATGAGTTGTTGCTATACAAATGGCTTAGTTAAATAAATTATTAAAAAGGGCTTAATCGAATTAAATGTAAATGGATGCAAATAAATGTGGAGGCACTACAAACCTGTTTGATGCAGACACCAGGAGAATAATAACAAAAATTCCAGAATGAATGCTTACGGTTCCCTGTCTTCATTAACCCACCAAAGTGCAGGTGTACAGTTTGTGTTCTAATTCAAAAAAGTATCTTCTCAGTCAGTGTTCGGCTTTAAACAAGAATACTTTCAGTTCTGCTCCTCGTCCCGTTCTCTTCATTTCTCTTTTACAGCACCTTATTCCAATTGCCGAAGACTTGGTTACTTTACCCAAGAGCCTGCAAATTTATCAGCTGATGAATGTCTACAAGGTATAAGAACATTTAGCTCATCAATTGTTATGTGCAGACCTGGTTCTACCTTGCATTGTTTCGCAGTCATTAGCAGTTATTTGTAACGCAACCGTAGTAACTCGCGCCAATTATTCGCAATGTACACTGCAGAGTCTAGAAAATTATTTATAATTTTATGTAAAAAGTTTTAGTCATCTATATGAAGCCAATGTATCATATGAAATATTTCAGTAATTGAACGAAATTTTACAAAAAATATGTTAGCAATCTTACTATTTCGATCTTTGCTGATGTCAGTCACAGTGCGAAGTACTTGAATGATAAAAATTTTAATACAATAATAAAAGAAAAACCGAATGTAGGAAGTAGCTCACCAAAGTAAACAGAAAGTCGGAATTTATGCTAGACTTGTCAGTCATCCTACTGACTGATCGGTCCAAAGGATTTCTCAAAACCGCGTACACTATCCGACCCTTCTTACTGGGTTGTTTAGAGAGAACAAACATGGGACAGGTTGCGAAACTTAAACTAACCAGGAAAGCTGAGTTAGTGATTGTCCATAAATGTCATACTGTAAAAGGATATTATCTATTGTCTTTCAATTACGAGTAGTGAGTTTTAAAAGTGTGAAAATCAAAATATTCGACTTGTGCCAAAGGGCTACCGTATAAATTATCCTACAAATTAGCCTACGAGTAATTTAATGAGTATAGAAATTGCCAAACCCATTTTTATATACAGTCGGATATGGATGATGGATAAGTAGAAAAACTAACACACAAGAATAAACATGTAGTTCAGATAATTAAAAGATGATCATAAATTACGCAAGAATGACGGTAAAATGATCATTTGCATGTATATAATACATTACCTGTTGAACTAATGGGTTTGAGAATTCTACAATCCCTAAACGAGATTTCGGCGGCTCGTTTCCATTTCCTATCTTTTACACAAACTGGACCTTATGATCAACTATTTTCGTCACCCGGTTGCCCTTCGCCGTACTCACCTCTGGCAATCATTTTAATATGCCTACATGGCATTCATCCTCTTTCATTATGCGGGTGATTCAGTCAATAATCTTTAGAATTTTCTAGCCCTTCCCTTCAGCCCGCCATAATAGCTGCTATTTATCATCCGGGTTACTAAAAACCCGATCAACCTCATAGTTGTTTGAAAGAGCATTCTATGTTTACTCCAAATATTATTTACTCACAACAGTTTGGTCAGCTGTACAATTAGAACATTGGCCCGACAAATCTATGAACATTAGCTCATCCTCATAAATAAAATCATGAGTGAGGAAAGACGATTTAGCTCAAGTAACTTTGATTTTTTGATAAGAGGTGTTGAATTTTTCAAAATATTAAAAATATAGTTTATTTTTAAACCAACAAATTTTAGTAATCTGATTGTCTTGAAAAAAAATTTTTCACAGCATATTATTGATCTAGGCTTTGCAACATAATTTCACGACCGTGTGTTTTTATGCGTTCAAGGTCGGGTCTATCACGTGTGCCAGGGTCACGAGGCGTAGGCCATGGCAACGGAATGGTCATTTGTGTGTTTTTCACCCGTTTGAGCACAATATTCATCATAACTATTGCCAGAAATAGCAGCAATTCTTGCTGACAATAATTTCATTATTCTGGATGCTTTGATGCCATCAAAAATCAGGATTGTTTTGGAGGGATACGCGCGGTATCGTGATGGCAAGAGGGTAAGTTGTTCACCAGCTGTTTTGGATTCATTTTCGATGGATGTCTAATGAGGTCGCTTTCTTTATTCTAGTGGAAGAAACGTTACTGCGTGTTGTCACTCTCACCAACTACTCCCGGTGAGTTCATGTTTGTCATTTACATTTTTTATGATTACTGATTTTAAGTCAATTGTTTTAGCCCTACTCTTGTATGTAGTTTTACACATATAGGAATATGCTTTACTTAGTTTCCCTCCACTGGTTAGATTTTTCCACTTTTATCTCATCTACCTCGTTTTTCTTAAGATGGTCACTTAACATGGCTCACAAATTCGTAAAGTTTTCCACTGAGTTAGTATCAACGCTTTTTGGAATAATAGCTGTTAGTCAACCACAAGGCATATGTTCGGGCGAATTTAAGTCTGGACCTGCCGAACTTGGAAAGTCATCATAAAGTTTATGAAGGTCCGTTCCTGACTGTATCCGCTACCTTGATGTGGTGATCGGACCTGTCTATCGTGCTGACCCGACTGAGCTAAATTAGCTCAGACACCTCTTCCTTTAGGTCCTATGATGCTAGGCAGGTCGATTGGAGGATGGTAAGATTAAAAGTAGTAACTAAGGACGAAATCGTACTGCTGACTGTAGGGGGTGTCTGAGAACATTACGGTGTTTCCCTCGGACAGTCAGCATCTGCAGCGATGCTGCCTTCTCACAAGGAAGGAAGGAGTTAGAATAGGTCAGTCCTAAGAATGTTACACCCCATCCTGCGCCGCTTTTTCCGTCTCTGGTGGTAGGACCTTTTGGGGAGCGATGTTAGCACTTCCAAAACATCGCACAAAAAGGTCGTTGGGTTCGGCGGCCACGTTTTCAGGTCTCTAGGATCAACTCTAATCCACCACCCTTTCAAGTACTTTAAGAGATACTCTTCTTCAATGTGGACAGCCGGAAAGTGACATCCGCCCTCATAACCGTAACAACACACGAGGACAAATAAGCCACATTTAGTTAGTTCACTAGTCAGTAAAGCCTAAATAAGATGTTTTATAACGATTATTATGCACGAATGTTCGCCGGTGTATACTGTGTTACTGTTGCGAAGCCGTTTAAGGAACACTGCTCCAGCTTGGATAAGTGAGTCCTCAACGTCATAGGTATGAGTCTAGAGTCGTTGGAAAGGCGGTCGTGTGGAATAGTGCGAACATTTTAGTTTTGATACGCGAAGTAGTTGGAATTTGATTAAAAACCCTAGGTTACTTAACTGGAAATTGGTTACATTGACGCAGCTGTACTCATATTTATCTTTATTTTAGTATTAACTGTGACATTATTCAGTGGATTATGTTCTCAGATTTAAGTCTCTTTTGATCTTAATGGTTTCTGCTCGCTTTCAGTGTTTAATATTACCACTACTATGTTTATCATCGTAGTTTCTCATTATGCTGGTGTGTTATATGGTACTTAAAGCCGAATCATGTTTGTTTCTGATTTTATGTTATTTATATTCATCTGGGTAACTTCATCCGATCAATGGAGCGAAATGTTTGTGATTATCAAATTAAAGTACTTGGTACTTTTTTGGTTTATACCAGTGAAACCCCTAATCGCTATAGTTATCTATAAGCGGTGGTACTTTTGGGTTTAATCCAAGATTGCAACTTGAAGCTGTACTTGGTCATTAAATTATAATAACCATCCTTCAAACCTGCACGTTGAAAGCATTATATGATTCGATATTTAGACTTAAGATCCATGTTTAGCTTAGTGAGTATTAACTGACGCACCAAATCTACAGTATTTCCAAAGGTTTGTATGAGTTCATTAGTGGCATAGCGATGAAGCCGTTCGGCTTTTATCTTAGTCAAAACTTTAAAAATTTTGTCCAATTCGAACATGTGACAAACTATCATCTAAATTGTTAATATCAAGTTATGTTCCTCAGGACTATCTCATACTTTATTTCAACTTCGCTATATACAATTTTAGGCGATAAAGCTTATTTCTAGAGGGTTTATTTCTCCCAGGGGATTTACTTGTTGACTTAAAATTCGCAGGTGACTTAGTTCTGTTTGATGGGAACCCTATTATTGAAAACTTTTGGTCTCCTGGTATGTGACAAAATCTCAGCACGGGTACAGAATGCTAGACTGACTCTTTCCAACTTGCGTCACTTTTTGGCGTAGTTGAGATATCTTACGTAACCTACGTAGACAATTGTTAGTTAAAACTTGAATCTTGTGGATGATGGCTTTCATGCTCCTCAATGGTCATGCCCAGATCTGTAAAGCTTTTCACATCCTCCGTAAAGTGTGATTTGGTTGGTCCATGCTGTGTTGTATCTTAGGATCTTGCATTTTCCCTTGTATCTTAAAACTTACTTCTTCAGAAGCAACTGCTACACTAGTTGTCTTCTGCATTTGTTGCTGCGTGTGGAATAGGAGGGCTAGATCATCCGCGAAGTCCGAATCGTCCAGCTGCATCCTAGCTGTCCAGTGTATTCCGTGCTTCCCCTTAGATGTTGGTGTTTTCATAATCCAGTCAACCACCGGGAGAATTTAAAAAGCCTCGTTGAACGCCAGTCTTCACCTGGAATGAATCTGTGGGCTGTCCTCCATACACGATCCTGCAGTTTAATCCATCATAAGAATTCCATATAATGTTGACTATCTCAGGCGCACTATAGCATCGAAGAAGCCTACATCATGTCATCCTATACCCGCTGTCGAATGGTTTCTCGTAGTCAATGGGGTTGATGTAGAGTGGTGAATTCCATTCAATTGATTGTTCCACAATGATCCGTGATGTTGCATTTTGGTCGGTACACGATCGATTCTTACGAAATTCAGCCTGTTGATCTCAAAGTTGGGCGTCTACGGAGTCCTTCATTCTGTTTAACGACACTCTGTTGAGGAATTTTTTTGGTAATAAGAGAAGAGTGACGCCTCTGTAATTCTCACATTTGCTGAGATGTCCTTCGGTATCTGATTAATGTGTCCTTTCTAGTTTATTGGTACTTGTTCTTCATCCCAAATCTTTCTGAAAAGAGTGTGGAGTATCTTTGCAGTTACTGCTATGTCTGCTTTCATTGCCTCTGCTGGAATGTTGTCTGGTCCTGCTACTTTGCCGCTCTTGATTTGTCTGATAGCCAAGCCGATCTCTCCAATTGTTGGTGGGTCAACACTAACTGGGAAGTCCATGGGTACTGCTTCGATGTTAGGTGGGTTCAGTAGGGCCGATAGATTCAAGTGTCCCTTAAACTGTTCTACCCACCTGTTTCGCTGTTCTGCAATGTTGCTGGTTACTTCGCCTTCCTTGCTTTTCACTGGTCGTTCCGGTTTACGATTGTTTGCAGCGAGCTTCTCTGTTGTGTCATATAATTGTCTCATGTTTCCTTCTCTTGCAGCCTTTTCCGCCGTTATTTCTAGATCTTCCACATATTTATGTTTGTCAGCTCCTCTTCACTTGCTTGTTTGCTTCTGTGTTTTCAGCTTATGCCTTGGCTGATTTTGATTGCTGCTTTCTTGTTCCTCCTTTCTTGAATCTTATCCAGAGTATCCACAGAGATCCATTCCTTATGATTGGTGCTTCTTGTGGCCCAGAGCCTCATGAAATGTAGAAGTAATTGCACCTTTAGTCTCTTTCCAATTGTTCATCATGGTAGTTTCTTGTTCATCTAGTAGGTCGTAAAAGGCTTAGAACTCATTACTGACGGCTATCTGGTTGAGTTTGCCAGTATCCCGAGGAAAGGCCGTACTAAACTTGTGTGATGTTGTCCTCCCCGTTGTCCAGTTTTCCACGAGTTTCAATTTCATCTTGGCGACCAGCAAGTGGTGATCTGAGGCCAAATCAGCTCCTCTCTTGGTTCTCACGTCCTCCACGGTCTTTCCGAACTTTTTGTTGATGTAGTTATGGTCGATTTGGTTCTGAGCAGTGTGATCCGGTGAGATTCATGTAGCTTTGTGTATGCGTTTGTGTGGGAATATGGTGCCACCGATGACCAGTTTGTTAAAGGCACATGGGTTTGCAAATTTCCCACCATTTCCGTTCCTTTCTCCCAGTCCATGTCGTCCCATGACGTCTTCGTATCAACTGTTGTCCGTACCAACCTTGACATTTAGGTCTCCCATCAGAATGGTCAAATCCTGTGATTAGCATTTCTCGACGATTGCAGCCTATCGTAGAATTGATATTTAACGTCGTCATTGTAGTCATTGGTAGGTGCATAACATTGGACGGCGTTCATTGTAATGCCCTTTTTATTTTGAAGGATGCTTTGATGATCCCATCCTATCAGCGCCTTTTGTGCTTGTTTGGACAGCATCAGTGCGATTCCTTGTGTGTTAGAGGCATTTTCTTCTTCATGGCTGGAGTACAACGGTAGCTCTCCTGAAGCTAGTCTCAGTTGTCTTACCTGCGTCCAATGTGTTTCACTGATTCCAAGCACTTCCAACTTGTATCTTTTCATTTCCTCAGCAATTCACCTGGTCAGTTGACCCGGTCTCCCACAGCGTAAAAACATTCCATCTGCCTATGTTAGTTGTTTCTCTGGTTGTGAGAAGTTGTTTCGGCCTCGCGACTTCCGAAACGTCATAACTCTTCTAAACGAAGACCTTCCAAGTGCCGGGGCAGTGTTCAAATGATCTGAGTTATTTTTGTGGTTTGCGTTATTTTTAGAGAGTTGGTTTACTATGGGATGAAGTCACCAACCTTTCCCTAACCCTCCTCCTTTACGCCAGAAGGCCTCCAGGCAGGGTTTTCCTCCACACCTTACCGCTTAATAATCTAATATTTGAATACTGAGGCTCGTATGATACACAAGTTCAGTGATTTATTGCGAATCACAAAACACTACTGAAAATCTGGTGGATGTCTGATTTGCTATAGTGAAACTGAGTATTGGATGCTTATTTGTACCAATTACATATTTTCTTACGGATATAGCTAATCATGAAAGTTTGTATCTGGCTTAGTAAGTTAAGAGGTAGTTATTTAGTCAGGTTTGGACATTTATTACTCATGCCCAACCATCGACTGCCTCGACGAGCTATGTTTTGTGGTGTAGGAGTAGGTTGGAAGAAAGCTAGGAGCGGCCAAATCAAAACATGGCACAAATCCATGAAGTCACTGACAAGTAGATTGAATCATGTTGGTGAGTGTAGACTACCTGTTTGGGGTCCGCGAGACGTTAGTATTCGATGGTTAGAGATCTTGAATGATATAACTCACAGTCGTTTGCAATGGCGCAGGCACATCCACTTGTTGGGTTTTATAAAATTCTAATCTTCTGAATTTCTCATTTCCTCTATATATGTCTATCTAAATTCATTTCACTGAATTATACTTCTTGAATAACTTCTTCGAACACTAATCTCCGATTACTGCTAATAAGTTTACTACCTCTACCACTATTGGGTTTGAACTGACAATTGCGTCTCTATGCCAATGTGGTATGGTAACCTGGACTAATGTACGTACGTACAAGGCTCTACGTTGTAACTGACTGTCTGAATGATTTGGTCTACTAAGGAAGCCTATATAAGTACTGATATATATATATATATATATATATATATATATATATATATATATATATATATAACCAAAGATTGTGCTAACTGATCAATACCAATAATCAATGTAATACAAATATTCCCTTCAGTCCAACCCAACTGTCGGCTTTATTGGTTGTATATAATTTCATTTCAAGTCGAAGTTTATTTACAAATAACTTGATCAAATAAATTGGCATTCATTTTGATGATCGGTTTCCTTTTTTCCTCAAACCACTTGGTCGTTGCTTTTTTAATTTTAGGAAACGAATTCACCTTAAAAGTAGATAAGCTATGTAATCAGGCACAATGTATCTGTTGAGCGTTTCTAGTTTGTATATTTCAGTAATAAAGATTAAAATATTGTTCTTTTTGGTCATTTTATTTCATATGAAAGTACCTTGGCGGTATCAGTGTTGAACATATTCTGTTTTTCATCAGCAACGAATTCTGTCTAATATTAACTATAGAGATCCTATTTAAGTAGAAAGAAGTTTTTTAAAGTCGAATGTGGCTTTAATCGTAATTTTCACAATATCTTGCAGGTGTGGTAAATCTTCACTTTTCAGTAAATTGACAACTAACCTTAAGCCTAACTCATCACTAAATTTGTATCTCATTCGTTTTTACGCAGTTAGGATAACAAATTCATTGACTACCGAGGAACGAGATGGATATCGTGTATCACATAGCAGCAGTATGTTCGAAATACAGTCACGTGTTCCAAATGTAGGTGTACTGAGCTACACTCCCATGCTAACACTAACTTGCTTACTTATGCTTGTTACCCCTAATAGAGCATAGGCCAACAGCCAGCGAGTTATTTTTTCTGTTTAGCATTTTGTTTCTAGCGAGTTGGATTTGTACGGATAGGGTCGTTAACCCCATGCCCAACCCTCCTTTATCTGGGCTTGGGATCGGTAGTAATCCCAGAACGGCTCCAGACGTAGTTGTGCTAACCCTAACTAGTTGTATTATAATTCATTTTATTTCCATCTAGTAGAACTATTTTAACGTTGATGTTGGAAATTCTGATTTCGGTCTAGCGGGTCAGTTCTTGTTAGTCCCAAATATACTTCAACTTTTAGAATGTTGCTCTTGCTTTGCAGTATGTCCCTTGACATTTGCATCGTATCTTCTTTATTTATTGACGGTGCTGCCCAGTTATGTGAAAGCTTCCACCTCTTCTAGAGTAACACTATCAATTGTGGCTGGTACTTGCTGTTTCGTACTTAAGGATCTTGCTCTTTTCCTTATGACCCTTATGGCCTACTTCTGCTGAGACCGCTTCTAAACTGTCTTCGTTTACATTTGTTTTGTAAACAATAGCAGGACATAATCATTTGCAAAGTCCATTTCATCAATATGTGTCCAAGGTCCTTACCGTGCTCCGTCCTTTTCGTGGTCGATGGATGTTTTTATGATCCAGTCGATAGCTGCGCCAGTGAAATGGAAAATGCGAAGGGGCATTTTTGTCTAACACCAATCTTCACTTGAAATGTATCTCAGCGTTTCTCGATGTATGAGTGGTCTCTCATGAAGTTTCTCTATGTTGGTCAGTCAAAAATCAAAGACTTTAGACATTGACACACACTTCTCTATTAAAGAAAGTATTAACGAAAGTATCTCAAAAAAACAAAACCACATTCTCTCTTTCGTGTAAGGTCATTCAAATCTGACTGTTTTATTAAGAATATGAATACATGATTTTCTATTATTTTCAGTAATATAATTCTTCTTTCTTAACTATCTCAACATATATGACATTTGTGACTCATTTAATGAATATATTTTAAACAATCGGAATTTGGCTTTTGTTCAGTTCTTTCTCATTGACCTTCACTCTCCTATCACGTGTGTCCCAAGGTCATCCTAAGGTGAACTCCAGTTTAACATTTTTCCATTTGTATTTAATAATCAAATAATGCCTTGCAAATTGAACATCAAAAAGAAATGTTAAAATATTGTTTTTTTTATTGAAGTTCTTATAAAAATAATGATATTTCTATGGAATCAATTTATCTGAAATAGTTATTTTCTATTGCTCAGTTGTTGTTGTTTCATTCTAATAGATTCTTAATAATTTTTGTTTTTCCAAAGAAATAGTAAAAGTTAGTCTGTATAAGGAACGTTTTTGATAATCCTACTTTAAGTTGAGAAAACGATTCTGTTCTATACATTATTTATGTAGTCAAATGATGATGAAGAAAACTGTCACTCAACCATTCAGTCGCCTTTGTTCCTATGACTAACTACGTCGTTTTTTTATTTATTGAACTGTTATCATAATTCAAAATGAGTGGTTTATAGTTTGTATTGAAGTCTAGAACAAGCGTTTCGTCCTGTTTTTGACACATGTTGACTGAATCTATTGGTGTCCCAGTGTTATTATTTATTGTTCACCGAAATCAACAAAGGAAATAAATCGAACTGTTGCTACCAATGATAAAAGTAACAATTGTTTCGTTATAAGTATGTAGAAATATCCTAACTTTCTTCTTGCACCGAAATACAACGATGTACACACTCATGTCATGTTAAATTCCAACCGATTCGTAAATATATACCACTTATTTTGAAGAAATTGAGCAGAATTCCAGTACACAATTCAATTTGTTTTTTTTGTTAAAAATGTTGCTTAGTAGCTGGAGAATATTTAATCAGAAAAATCTAGTTTTATGCTCAAACAGTACTCTGTTTTAAATATTAAATATGTATATCCGTTCGTTTTTACACTTGAACTAAGTCATTCACACCATTGAACAATAACAGACCGATTATATTCCCATATTATTGTATCTAACCCCTATCATTATGCATCCAAATACACCACTACCACTGCGTTAATGTATTGAAATAATATCAGCAATCTAGTTTTGTTATTCTGTTGTCATTTCAGTCATATTTTTTCTTAAAATAATTTTTTTTTTCAAATAAAATCATTTTTTTTTCAACATCTTACTTTCCAGATGCGTTACATTTATACATTACTAAAAGTTATGATGATTTCGCAGCTTATCGTAATTCAGGCTCAGTACTTACTGCCATGCTTCCAGCTGTACGCAAGCTACACGAATTACCAATTTCCCCAGAATCCCGTGCTTTGCTTGGTGATGCTGCCGCTATTATACGGAGACCATCTGAGCACAATCATACTTTATCACTGCATCAAAATACTTCCACTCCTAGTTCATCAGTTACAACTTTCAGTGGTCCTCTAATTAATACTGCAGCTCAGTCTTATAATGCTGCTTCAGGGAGCACTTCATCAGGACTTGCAGCAGCATCAAACTTAGCATCAAGTGTCGGTGGTCCAGCACCTGTGGACGTAATCACAGGTTTTGAAAGTGGTTATCATATGGATAAGGAGTCAAATATCATAGTTCTCATTGGTGGATCCTCTGTGTATGCGTTAGCCCTAGCCGGTATGGATGAAATGTTCTGTTGGGCTGATAATTTAGCTCGTATTGTCGTTGGTGAGTTTTCTTCCCTGATTAATTTAATAACGTTTTGTCAATTTTCTTAAATAAAAACTCATTTTCGCTTTATTTCAAACTGCTCATTACCGTAACACCATTTTGAAAAATTCTCATCTAGTCAATCAGCAACGTTTGATTACGCTAACACTTGTCGTAACATGTTAGTGTATGATTTCCCACTAGCGTACTTGTAAGGGTTGATCATCCATTGGCTGCTTGTATCTTAAATAAATTTTATTTTCATCTATTTCATCTGTATAATATCCAGATTTAAAGTAAAATTTATGTATGAAAAATAAGTTAACTCATTCACCCAATATATTGGGTATGAGCAAACCCTAAAATCCAATAATAATACTATCTGGCTGCCGAAACTGAAATGAAGCATGTTTCAAACTTCAGGCCACCTCATAGGCAATAAGTTAGTCGTTCAGGCGTTAAACTTTCAACCACTAATTCCTAAGTTCCAACTCCACTTCAACTATTTCTATTTTGGCAACCAGGTAGTATCACTAGCTCTCGGTTCATACCTAAGTACCCGGTAAACGAGTTAAATAAAGCCCATTTCTTATTATTTAAACACTTAAATATTGGACCACCTAAATATTTGTTAGCCACACAAATTGAATTTGTGTGTTAGCTAGCATACCAACCGAGTGCCCAAACTGAAACAGGTGCTTTCTAAAACAATTAAACCGGAGAACCAATGAAATAACTTACTAAGAATCGGGCTAGTGTTCAGTCAGGGTTATCGTTCAATAGTGTTTTCGTCGTCACCAGATACCAGCTAAAAATGAAAATAGTTAATTAAAATCAGGTAACACGAGTTATGCTGTAGTTCCGAGCATGATTTACAAATTAGGGGATAGGGATTTTCATCACGATTTGTTATCATCATTTATTATGATGCAACAATGCTTTTTATCACCACTCTTCGGTCTCCAAACTCACTGTTTAGATTTATTTAGAATAAAAAGTTAAAATAGGAGAATATTACTCAACTGCACTTTTAACACTCTTGACTATGCGATTGATCACATCAAGTAACTTGACACACATACACTTCAGTTTAAGCACTATCTTAAATTCACCTTTCTGTGATATAATGCAAATTGATTTCAAGCATGTTAAGGATGAAATGTAACCAATTTCTACTTCGTTAATAATCATAATAATAATAATGTACAAGTTATTTATCATTGAACTTTAAATTGCGCTCAAAATGTATAGGGCGTTATTTCGATTCTGATTAGTTAACTCGAGCATGTCAGTATATTAAAACTTTTACTGTACAATTTTATTCAATGCATTTTTCGAAATACCAATGATTATCAGACTACTACCTAAGTGGTTGATAGTTTAATGATTAAAGTCACATTATGACCCATGTATGAAAATTATTTTACCCTAATTCGAGTTCAAACAACCAGGTTAGCCTTTACACACAAAGTTTATGACTTCAATCTGGGTAAATAAATCTGTATGTACAATGTGTCCCACTTAATTGCTAAGTTATTCGACATTTTCCCCGTAAATCGACTAGGCTGATTCTTCTTTAACAACGCAAACACTTTCAATATATTTTAGGGTGTCTATTCGTCTGTATACAATCTATAGTAAATTCCAAGTTTAATACACATTTCATCGAAGCGAAAGTGACGAGCTTGAAATTTAGTATAGATTGTATAAAAACCAATCTATATCCTCATATATACTGGAAGTTTTTGCGTCGAGCTATGTTTTGCGGTGAAAGGGTAGGTTGGAAGAAAGCTAGGGGCGGCCAGACCAAAACACGGCACAAATCCATGAAGTCATTGATGAGTGGACTGAGCCATGTTGGTAGGTGTCAACTAACCTGGTTGGCGCCCGCAAGATGATAATCGACTGTTAGAGACCTTGAACGACATGGCTCAAAATTGTTTCCGATGGCGTGTGTGCATTCACTCTTTGTGTCCTCTCAAATCTTATCCTTCAGAGTTCCACATCACCTTCATCTTTTTCTTTTTAAGTTTACTTCACTAGATTCTACTTCTTGAATATGATATCCTCGAACCCTATTCTCTCCGATTACTGCTAATACTTCTACTATATCTACCATTATGGGATTTGAACTGACAGTTGCATCTCTGTGCAAATATGATATGGCAACATGAACTGTTGTACGTACGTACGTACGTACGAAGTCCTGCGTTGCTGTTGATTGATTGATTGTGTATTTGCGTCACAAGAAACTCCATCCCATTACAAAAACACAAAGAGACATCCATCTAATTAAAATGACACTAATATTTCTTTGCAAAATTTACGTGGTATTTCAGCCATTAATAATTTGACTATGATTAATCGCGAAATTATTCTGCGATGTTTTGTTGTTATTTACTAATGCATACCATGTGACATAAAAGGTTGTGTTACACAAAAGTCACTACTCCTTTAATCAAATAAATGATCAAGACTTTTATCAGCATCCACTTAACTTACAGTGAGTGCTCTATTCCCTCAAAAGTGAAACATCAGCATTTGATCAGATTGTGGATGTAGAATGTTATCATTATTCATGTGTTGTAATCTGTTGAACAGGATATCACTTGTATAAATGACTCCCATAATATAAAAATTGCTCTGTTTTCCTATTGGTTCGATAGATCGATTAGTATCATTGAGAGGAGGAAAGTGATTGGTTAATTTCAAATTTTCATATACTCACTCTTCGTTATTAGAGATTAAATGTTACTGTATTATAAAATTGTATTACTATTCGTTTTTAGTTTCCCGACTTCGTTCAATATTCACTTAATTAAATTAAATTAAATTGAAATATTAATTTGTATAAATTGTTGGTGTGTTCTAATTCGCCTTAATCATTTCATTATTTGTCACAAATAAAAACTTCAAACAATTGATTCGCTTTACGGAATGTACCTATGAATCCCAATACAATCAGTTGCAGCAGAATAATAGGAATTCAGTAAATTTCTTAGTTTCTCATCAGATGCTTACAACTTATATGTATTTTAAAGTGTAACGTTGCGATATGATAAAATGTAAAAGGATCAGAGCAATTAAAATCACTGATGTTTATAATATTTATCTGTGACTAAACAGGTATGAAGTCATTTGGGGATGAGATTCAACAACAATATAAGGCTAAGTCGTGAGAGCACTGATAAAATGGATTACATATCAATTGTAGAAGTTGTGAAGAGTTACCAAATCTTTCAGATTACCTGAAAATAGACTTGTAAGATTTAGGAGTTCAAAATTGTAAGGTCACATTAATTAATTATACAAAATTTGAATAGTTTACATAAGTTTAATGAATTGAAAGAGTAAGAACAACGATAAATAAATGAAAGAATGGTTTCGGTTTATGTTAGATAAGAATTAGTGTAATAATTTCAGAATGCTGTGAATTTAACAAGGTCATGTTAAGCTAGATGATTACTGTCGCTTTCTGGACACATAAATCAGATTTGAATATCCGTATGCTTGGTATCAAGTGGATGTCGAGTTGTTGCACTATTCTGAGCTGTTCTACCTATCAGTCATAAATTCTTTAGAACATACTTGGAAGTACAAACATGTACTCTTGCTCTGTACTTCTAATGTACGCTTTGATGCGCACACACACACGTGAATTGGTAAACGCAGTTATATAGAGAGGTACTGAGTAAAGTGACCGGTCTAATACATATTTAATTTATTGTAAGCCACCGGTGAAGTAAGAAATCAAGAAATTTAATGAATTCCTATTATACTGCATCAATTGTTTTTGGCTTTAATACACAGCTAAGAAATATATATTGATAGTTGTAATTATTTATATTTTCCCATGTTCATTTGTTTTACTAAAACAAAATAAAATACCTTTCAACTAATGTTTTTTTTGTGTGTGTGTGTTTATTTTGTGTTAAGACAAGTTCATAAGTGATGATTATTGGTATGTGTATCATATATAATAATCGATAGATGATGTTATAAGATTTTAGAGATAATGATAGAAGAAGAATTTTCATTTCATTAATCATGTTACATCACAGCTAATTTATCCCATATATATATATATATATATATATATATATATATATATATTCTTGATATTAGATTTCACATATTTGTTATTCTAGTCAATACTATAAATTTTTTCTTACAGTAAAAAGATTACTAGCATCAATCATTGAATGATATGACAATAAGTTTTTTTTTATTACACCATATACCTATATCGTAATTATTCAGAAATATATCCTATACACCTTCCTTCATAGATTTCTGCCATGTTTTGATTTGGTCATCCCTAGCTTTCTTCTAACCTAATCATGCACTACAAAACATAGTCGGTGGTTAGGCATACGTAACACATGTCCTCACCACCTCAACTGATGAAGTTTCAATATTTCATCTATTATTCTGCCGTCCATGTCTAGTACTCGTTTCCTAACTATAGCATTGCTTACTTGGTTGTACCAGGATGTACGAGCAATGCTTCGGAGACATCGATGATCAAAGACAAGCAATCTACGAATGTCCTCTACTCTCACCGGTCATGTTTCGCCGCCATAAAGTAGGACAGTGCGAACTGCTGCGCATTACACTCGTCCTTTGGTTAGCAAACGGATATCTCGCCTACGCCATAGTTGATGCAAGTTCGCAAAAAGTCAATCGAGCTTTCTGTATCCGTGCTGAGATTTCGTCAGTCACCATAACTGATGTTCGTACGTACAAATTTTCTGTTGTTGCTGATTGACTGACTAACGCGTAATTCCTGAAGATACTGATACACATCTGTCTGAAGCAACATCTTGTATCCTCAAGAATAGATATCTACCGTGAAACTTACTCAGGGCAATCAAACGAATCAACATTATATCACATTCTTCACTAAACAGAACTGTCTTCTATGTATTCTAAGTTGAAAAGTGAATCTCTTAGTAGCTGATAATAATAATAAATAACCTGGTCGTATCACCCATTATCCTTCATATTGCACAATGTTG